CGCGCTCGCGAACCGAAGACTAAGTGGGCTCTCCCGCTCAAGTTTGGAAGTTGGTGAAAATCGTAATTACCTGTGTTCTATAAAATAGAACTGAAATTACTCTAAGAGAATTTCAAATTGTCGTGCGCTTTGACGCGCAAATGACAAACAAAACACTTAAACAAAACATTTCTTTTGTTCTTGCGTTTTTTATAGTCAACAATAATTCTTTACTTGCAAGATATAATTATGTCTTTTAGACAAACTAGTTGTTCACCATTTCCATCATATTTAGAGTAACCAGCATCGTAAGAGATTCTGCACAGAAAAGAATCGAGCGCTATGAGTTTTCAGTATTGTGATATCCATAGGCTTCATGTCTCTCCCCAGCCATTGTTAGCAGATCGAGAAATTTGCAAAGACTTGCAAATGTGTGCTGTTTAACACTCCTTGAAAAGGCACCGACTTATCATAGTCTCCTTTTATGCGGTGCTGGACAAATTGTAGTGACATATCGTTGATCCACGTCTTACACGCTGATTGTATGTTTATTTTCTGTTCGACAAATGATCGAATGTTTCATTCAAATCGGTGTTCAAAAGGTTAAATCCAACAACGATAAACGCGTTCACTGAAGCTCAAAAATTTATCAGTAGTTCAAAAGGCTTCAGTAGCCGTCTCGAGAAAAATTTCCCAGCACTTATCTTGCTCTTTCCTCTGAGCAGAATGTGAAAGACTACTCAGAACACGGGCAAAGTTAGTTAAAATTTCAAATATCTATCTGCACAGTGACAACGCCGCACTCTGAGTGCCACTTGAAATGTATTTGGTCACTCTGATAATAGCTTCCGAGTTTGACGGTCGGCCGCAATCGCAAATGTTCGTCAGAGAACGCGGCAAAATCGGGCAGACTGAAAAGTACACTTTCAACCATTACTGAACACGGAGCAGTGAGAGTGGTGCTAAAGCAAAATACATGAACTCAGAGAAGCGGAATAAATGCATACTAATGAGCAAAGGGGCTCATTATGTAATACGAAATACAGGGAACACGAATTTCAAGAAAATCCCTTTCCGCTATTCTTGACATTTCAGCTTGATATCTGAATTTACTTTAAAAAGAAACTTATGCAAGTTGCAAGTTCATAAAAAGTTGGACCAGAAACAAGAAATCTAAGGTAGAAAAAGGGCATTTTTGAATTCTCAGTTAAAATGCCTATAAAATCATTCGCAATTTGACTCAAATTTCGAATAGCTTTTACAAGTCGTGTATGTCTCTGGGCGTCTCGATTAAAAAAGTGTAATTTCTTCATGTCGCAGCCTACAAGTGTGGACTTTTTCAATCTAGAGCCATTTAAAACGAAAATTAAAGTGAGATGCTCGCCCATTTTTGACGCCATCTCTTCTAAAATGAAGATTTTTCGCTTTCAAATTTCGCGCTTCATCGCGTCACCGTTATGACAAGTAATGCATGCTTAATGAAGTATGAATATTAATGACGTCCGGCCATTCTACGCCATGTCCGGAATGGTCTGGGATTTTTAATATGTTTTACATTAATCAATATATCTTTTTAACTTTTGTAAGATTTTTGTTAATCCTAAGGGAAATAAATTAACCGTTGACCGAAAAAAAGCCAAAATATTAAACGTTAGCCTTAAAAGCCTCCACCCCATTGAGACCCTGTTCTCCCCTACTGAAGGTGATAGTTTTGACTCTGGAAGTGAGCCTGGTGTGTGCTGCCTGGCAAAGTTTTAGGAGAATATTAGCTATGAAGTGAAAATTGAGACATTTCTGCTTAGAAAGAGGAACCGATGTAAATTTGCCATCAACAAGACAATTTTTGTTGGCTTCTTCATGGCCGCGATAGTCCCTGATGAATTCTCACAAATTTTAAAGCTTGTGGTGTGACCCTGTTGGAAGGGTGACTGGAATCAAAAGTCTAATGCAGATTTCGTTGCATTTATTTTTTTCCAAATTGATATTCACACGGCTAGCCAGACTGGCCCAAGGAGATGGAATAACACAATGAAGTTGGATGGGTATGCCTCGAAAAAACTCGCTATAAAACATCTGCAAGTGGACAAACTGGAAGGAAATCCAGTTTAATCTAATCCATGGAATTAAAGTTACCAAAAACAACCTTAATTGATATGGTATAAAACGGATGACGAATACTTCTACAGTGGTGAGCTAGAATCAGTTTTTATCATACATTTACTATGTCATATAATTTTGTAAAGACCTTAGCAAACAACGTAATTGACTGGCTTAATGCTACCAACAAGTCATAGGCACTCAAACGATAGATGAAAACTGAACTGTTTGGTATCATATCTGGCTCGTGAAAAGAAACATCGAAGATAGTTGCATGTAATTTTATGACCCTATTAATGAGACAAGACATCTACATTAGTACTGAATGCAAAAATAGAATATAACATGGTGGCGCAAAGATATTGATTATAGTAATGCAGAAAACAAATGAAGTTAAAAAAAATCTTTTTAAAAACGCGATATTCACAATCTTTAATCTTAGATCTTATAAAACACCTTTTAAGACCGTTAAGCAGTCGCAGTATGGTGTGAGAATTTAAACTGACATTTTTCAACTTGGTGAGGCGGTGAGTAGGCCAGATAGAGAAACTTCGCATAGCAGCGCGCTACAAACACTCCAGGCGCGGCTCCACCAAGCGTTAAAGTGTGTATGACAGACACTTTTTATTTGTTTTATGGAATCTAAACGAGATCGTGATAAAGAAATCGAAAAAGAAAATGGATATCGTTGTTTTTACACCGCGTCTACATATCTTTCGTAATAATGGCAAATGTTTACAAATTTGAACCAAAATTGGAATTACGCTTGATTCCCTAATTCCTAGTATATTTCACTTATTTATTTATTTTGTTTGTTTCGTTTCTATTATTTTGGTTGGAAAAATATGTCGAAGTACGTTCTTGTTTTAACGTCACAGCCTGACTAGTCCCAGGTCGTAACCCCCGCGGTTTCTGACCTAACCGGAAGTAAAACCTCACATTTTCAGACGGCTAAATTGCAGTGAAATAACAAAGAGATCAATTTTCTTTTTCTATTTCCATATCATGATCGCGTGTAGATTCCATAAAACAAAAAAAATATCTCTTTAATTCCACTTCTTTTGATTACTGTGATAATGATGATAGAGGCCTGGGTACTTGATTCGCTCCACTTCCAACTTGGCGTTCAAAACACGGTCTAGTAGATCCCAGTTCTCCCCGCCCCATTTGTATTTGAATTTCTCGGTGTTCATTCCTTTGGACAAACAGAGCAAAAATAAATCAGAGTTGTACAACTAAATGTTCGAAATACAAGCAAATTCTTTCCCTGCTAACAGAGATTCTTTCCTAGTGCTCGTTGACGGGAGAAAAGAGACCTCTGCCATGAGTAGAAAATGGCTTTGATTTAACCGCCGTCCACAGTCTTGGACGGTTCTATTTAAAACGCATGCTCCTTGCGTTGTTCGCTGACCGTAACTTGAGCCCGTTGCGTCTCGCGCATTT